TCCTCTGTAAATTCTTACAATAAGACCAGTGTGTCTCCAGAATTTCCCCTCAAATTAGAGAATATGGAAGGTGAAGATTGTTTAATTACGCATGCACTAACAGCTATTAATTCTGTAATCTAAGTGCTTACATTTCACGGCATGTTAACTATGACCCCAAAAAGCTGTTACCAGAAAGCTTGACTTCCTACTTGTGAATCTTAACAATATCGTGGTGTGCTGCTTAGCTCTATCCAGAAGCCAATTTTAAGACAAGAAAACCAATACTGTGCCTTTCTAAAGAAAAAGATGTGTTTCCCTGATATCATGTATATAATATTATAGCTCGGTTTTCATTGCCTGTTACAAGTTTTCAGACATTTATTTTTCCCAAGGTTAAGTGATTTTGATCCCACGACTGGTTACAGATTACCTCAAGTCTTAGCACGCCAACTGGACTATTCATTTCAGCTTGACTGGCTTTTGAAACTTCACGAAAGCTATGTCTTCTGCTGTCACACCTGTGTCCTTCCTTTGGGGACATATTCAAGATCTTCTTTATTCTGTAAGACAGCAAAGGAAGAAAGTTTTTTAATGAGTAAATACCTAGTAATTGTTTAAATAAATATTATACCCTATTGTATATATGTGTGTCTATAAATCACAATCCTGACTCAAAGAAACTTTATTTGAAACCATTTGGAGTACATTATAATCTTATTGATGTCTCTCAGTTAGGTTGCTACTGGATGATGACACACTATGACCAAAAGCAACTTCGGGAGGAAAGGATTTATTTTGCATGTGTATCTTGGGAAGCCAGGAAGCCAAGACAGAAATTCAAACAAGGCAGGAGCCTGGAGGCAGGAGCTGATGAGGGACCATGGAGGAATGCTCTTTACTGGCTTGTTCTTCCTGGCTTGTTCAGCCTGCGTTCTTATAGAATCTGGGACCACCAGCCCAGGGGTGACACTGCCCACAGTGGGCTGGCCATAAGTCACTAATTTAAGAAAATGCCTGACAGGCTTGCCTGCCATGGCTGCATCTCATGGAGGCAGTTTTAAGTTGAGGTTCCCTCCGCTTAGTTTGTGCCCAGTTGACAGAAGACTAGCCAGGACAATTGATATGCATGGTTAATGTTATAACTACATACAGAATTTTAAATAATGACTATCCATTTCAGTGGATGACATAGAACATTAACTATTAGCTAGAACCCAGAAGTCAGTAGCCAAGATGAAGAAGATAAGTATACTTCTATATAATGTTTTCACAATATGTATAAAAACATGCTTTGGTAATTATAGAATATGGTCTATAAGAAGAAAAGAAGGTACACACAAGAAAGCATCAGAGAGGCTGGGAGACGTAGAACAGCGCTAGAGGCCGTGTTTCTAAGCCACATTCTGAGCACAGTCCCAGCCCAAAACACACGTCATCAAGAACATTCGTGGTTGAAAATAAACAAAAAAGGTCCTTGAAATTTCTACAGAGAGGGGAAGTAAGACAGAAAAAACTTGGAAGGGAGGAAGTCCACAGAGAAAGAATGAATAAAGAATCGTGACTTTTTAAAAACTACATAGCTTTGCTAACACAATATTGACTAAACACATGAAATAAAAACCATGTACAGAAATAGTTAGGTGGGAGGAGAATCTTAATTCACTCAGCAAACAAACTCAGCTACCCAGAGAGTAGGTATAAAGGCAGCCATGTGTGGGGCGGCAGAGAGCCCAGAAAACACTTCGGTTTTGGTCTGGTAGGGGAAGCGTGAGACTGTGTCATTCTTTGTGTTCAGGTCATACATGAGCTTTTGTACATATGGCCCCATACACAGTTCAGCCTTCTGTGTCTACAAGCTCTCTGACTGAGGTCAAATGCAGACTGAAAATACTTGAGAGAAACACATCTGAACTGACATCTACACCCCTTTCTTCTAATTCTCTACACCACACAGAATTACAGTTAAGTGTCTTTTTTAGAAAAATAGATTTGAAGATTCTTTAAAAGCTTTTTAATATTGTATTTATTGTTGGAGGACACACATGTGTGGAGGTCAGAGGATAACTTTCTGGACTCAATTCTCTCTTTTCCTAGTGGCTTCTGGGTATAGAACTTAGGTCCTCTAGCTCCCACATTGACAGGTAAGCCATCCCCAGACCATCACCTCAGGCCCATACTCACACCCAACCAACAAATACGGATATAGAGTACCATCCCCAAAGAAGAAACTTAGAAAAATCCAAGAAACGTCTGTTCCACAAGTTGCCAATCCTGTAATAATGGACTCCAATGAGAACAGCCTGGAAGAACTTTCAGATAAAAGAATTATTATAACCATGTCCAAACAACTCAAGGAAGATATGAACACACTCCAAGAAATAAAAGCAAAGAAATGAATGAAATGCAGATGCCAAGCCAAACATAAAATAGAATTAAGCAAAGAGAACTGCTGGAGGACCCAAACTAAAATGATCCTGGAAATGAAAAACTCAATAAGCCAATTAAGACTTCGATGGAAAGCCTCACCAGCAAAATGGAACCTGTAGAAAACGGGAAAGCAGTGGGAAGAGAAGGTTAAAAACAAAAAACAAAACAAAAAAAACAACTAGAGCACTCAATAAATGTAATTCTCCACACACATGGACTCATGGACAGAAATCACATGATCATGTCAATTGATGCTGAAAAGAGTCTTTGACAAAATACAACATCCCTTCATGATACCCTGGAAAGAATGGGGATGGAGAAAATACATGCCAACATAATAAAGGCTAAGTATGGCAAACCAATAGCCACAATCCTAGGGAGTGGAGAAAAACTTGAAGCACTCCCACAGAACAAGACAAGGCTGTGGGTTCAACAGTGCCTGGGATCTTAGCTCGAGCAACAGGACAAGAGAAGGAAATAAGAGGGACACACATAAGAAAGGAAGCTGTCAAAGTATTCCTGTTTGCAGATGACATAATTCTTCTACATATGACAGACCCCAAAGACCCCACCAGGAAACTCCTAGAGCTAGTGAACGTTTTCAGCATTGTGGCCGGTTACAAAATTAACATCCCGAGACTGGAGAGATGGCCCAGTGGTTGAGAGGACTCCCTGCCTTCTAAAGGACCTGGGTTCAATTCTCAGTACCCACATGGAGCTCACAACTGTCTATAATTCCAGTCCCAGGGAATCCAATGCCCTCTTCTGGCCTCCAAGGGCAGCAGGCACCCATGTGATACACAGGTATACAAGCAGAGAGAGGAGAAAGTGGAAGAATACTCTTGAACTCATTGGAACAGGGAAGCACTTTCTGAACAGGACTCCAATAGTGCATGTGGTGATATTTTATTTGTGCCTTAATAAATAAAGCTTGCCTGGCGATCAGAGGAATAGGAATGGCCTTATAGTAAACAAAGAAGTCAGGCAATGGTAGCACATGCCTTTAATCCTATCACTTGGCAGGCAGGAATCTGTCTGGATCTCTGTAAGTTCAAGGCCACACTGGAAACAGAGCCAGGTGTGGTGGCACATGCCTTAAATTCCAACACTAGTTAACCATGGAGGTCTGGAGGTCTGCACAGACAGATAGGAAGTGACAGAGCTGGGCAGGAAGAAGAAGTGATGTAGCTGGACAGAGAGAGCAAATCAGATGGCAGAACAGCAAGGCATATAGACATGGGTAGACAGGAAGTAACTCACATTTGGAAGCTGCTGAGTTGGTGAGGTAAGGTTGGCTGGTGGCTTTCTCTATTTCCCTGTTCTCTCTCAGGCTTTCACCCCTACATCTGGTTCCGTGTTTTTTATTTAATAAGACCATTTAGAAATTCATCTACAAGTGCAGGCATTCAGATCAACAATTAATTAATGGAACCCTGTGAAACTAAAAACTCCTGTAT